CCCGAAGCTCTTCATTCGTAAACCGGTGCTGGCAAGAGCCTGTGCTGGCGGTTCATTTTCACTGGTTCAAACCCCTCCTTGTTTCGTCAGTAGCGCGGATCATCGTTTTAGGGCGGGTCGTGTATTAGTCGATTATACATACTTTATGGATAATTTTCCTTTATGGATAAAAGAGGTGCCTGTCGAGTTGGTGTATAACAATGAAGCGGTAACAACAATCGGGTCCTCTCATGGCTGGGTAGCCTCTTTGATGCATGACGTAGGCACTCTGCGTCTCCATGATGATCTAAAACCGGTTGAATCTAATAAACCAAAACTCATATCGCTGCCTCCTCTTGTAACTGTGCCTCATTGCCAAACCCAAATCATCACCAACGTGTCCTTGTCCTCACTATCCCCAGAGGAAGAAGATTGTGTCGTGACTGTCAAGTTCATGGGACCCAAACTCAGCTATTGCAGACCCGGCAACTCCGAGTGGTTCAACATCAAAATCGACAACCCAAGCTTCTTCTCCTCCAGTGTCATGTTTTCCAAGAAACATAACATGTTTTGTATACCTGGAGCTGGAGGCAAACTCATTGCATCATGGGATCTCTGCAAAGACGAGCACACACCTAAGATTCAGGTGTTGCGATATCATAACCTTCCCGAGCTGAGCGTAGCCGAACGTGAGGTTATGGATACCTGTCTCACCACCCAACACTTGGTGGAATCACAATCCACAGGTGAAACCTTTTTGGTCAAGTGTTTCAGACAGACCGTGGACGGTGGTGGTACCAGTTTGAAACCAAAAGCTGTAATGGTGTTCAAAGTAAGCGCCAATGGAGATGCATTTTACACTAGAGACATTGGCGATCTCACCATTTTCATCTCAAAGTCTGAGCCATTCTGTGTCCGTGCTAGCTGTTTTATTGGGGTGCGTCCTAGTGAGGTCTATATCTTAGATGTCGACGAGATTTCATTTTTCAAGCTTGATGATTCTACCATCTCAACTTCTACTGAAAGAGTCGTGGTCCCTTACTTTTTTCCACCTCAAAATATAGAATATTAAATTTGGGATTGAGTTTTGAGTCTAGAGTCTGTGTCTTCTCTTTAAAAGGTTTCAACCTATCAAAATATTTATCTATTTTAGTTTACTCAATTGTATGTGAAAGTAGAGTTCCAGTTAATCAAAATTAATCAGTTACGTTCTTCCAAAAACCCTTACAATGACTAAATTCTCCTGTTAAGATTTACAAGACTCTATTTGTGTGAACTTATGCAGAACAGAGAGAGCTTTGGATAAGAGATGTGAGAAACAAGAGAAAGAGTATACTTACTCAGCCCTGATAATCAGCTCTTTAAACACCATAAACCTGCTATAAGCTTCTGCAACTGTGACCATTCACATCTATGATCCTTAACTCTTGATGATCAGATCACTTCTTGATGCATTTATCCTGAGATAACCACGCTGAAAACTCTCCACTAACAAATTTAAATTCCACTACTGATTATCTTCAACAGATTTACCCTTAAGCTTTACGGCTTAAGACCCTTCCAATCACACAGCCTTCACATAGCTTCTCTTCATACTCATGAGCCATTGCAGTGACTGAAAAAAACACACTTGTTTCTCAGCAAAACCATATTCCCTTGCTAGCCATTAGTTCAAACTCATGTGCACTGAGATAAGAACCAATAGATACTTGAATCAATTGCAGAAAACAGAATCACCTTTGCTCCTTCCACCTAGAAACCCTGTTGATTCAAACTTGTACACAATCTCAACAGTTAAGAACCACTGCATTTCTTGAGATTACTTGTACACATCTCCGTTCATCAAAACCAATATTGAACATAAATACTTGTTCAACCTTCTTGTGCTACTCTTGAAGCACTTTATAGCAGCAACTTTCACATCAACACACCTTTGATGTCATCTAAAAGTATAATATTATTAGTGTAAATTTATTTTAGTTATAGAATAACTACAACTGTTTATATCTTAATTTTAAATTTCTAACAGAAAAATATTTTCAAGACAACAACATAATACATAAAAAGTATTTTATTTTCTAAAAAATCTAATACTATTAATATAAATTTGTTTTAAATATATAACAGAAAAATTCGGCAAACATCTAATTCACATCTTAAATAATAGTATTAATTTTTTACATTATAATTTTAAATTTTATAATAAAAATATATTTTCAAGGTAAAAACATAATACAAAATAATTAAATTATTTGTTAAAAATCATATTATTAATAGATATTAGCTTTAATTATATAATAAATAATAAACAAAATTAAAGAAATTATTATAAATGATCCAAATTACCTAGGATCATCGAGAAATTGATAAATCAACAAATTCACTTTTTAAATATTTTTTTGATGATTTATATTTAATTATTAATAATATAATTTTTATATCTTAATTTCAAATTTTATAATAGGAAAATATATTTTCAACATAGCGACATAACACATAAGAATTATCTTATTTTAGAAATATATAAAATTATTAACCTAAATTCGTTTAAGTTATGTAATAAATATAATAATTTTTCTATTTTAATTTAATTTTTATATATAAAATAAATTTTAAGATAACAACATAATTCACAAGAGTGATCTTATTTTCTAAAAATATGATATCATCTTAATTTGTTTTATTTATAAATAAGTTATATATAAATATTAAAAGTATGATAAATAAACCAAATTACCTATATTTATGGAAAATATGACAACTAAGCAAAATAATTATTAATATGATATATTCATATAAATTCTTTTTATTTATAAGTAAATCATATATAAATATTAAAAATATGATAAATAAACAAAATTACCTAAACTTGTGGAGAAAATGACAACTAAGCAAATTTACTTCTTAAATAATAGTATAGATAAATAAATTATATATAAATATTATGATAAAAATGAAAATTTAAGTTTTATATATAAAAATATGTTTCAAGATAAACAACATAATTCACAAGAATTATCTTATTTTCTAAAAATATGATATATTCATATAAATTCGTTTTACTTATAAATAAATAATATATAAATATTAAAAATATGATAAATTCTGAAATAAATCTCACACAACATATACAAATATTTACCGATATTTATGTAGGTAAAAAAATTCTAAATTCTGAAATAAATCGCACACAACATATATAAAATTAGTTCTAAAATATAATATAATTTATTATTTTATCATTTGTAAAATTAAAACATCAAATAAAATATATTCTTATTAAAATATAAATACTAATTGAAACTTTTATGGAAAAACGAATTCTTAATTTCTAAAATAATTCTCACACAACATATGAAAAAAAAGAATCATAAAACTATAAAATGAATTATTATTTTTATATTTTATAAATATTAAAACATCAAATAAAACTTGTGCAACGCGCAGGCCCATATCTAGTTTTGTTATTATAATTGTTAGATAAAACTAAAGGAGTTTTATTCTGTAGTCAGAAAAAGATGACAATTTGTAGAATTAGAGGCCTCTAATCCCATTTTATGTTACTATAACATATAGTTCGGAAAAAAACATAGGTTCAATTTATTTTCCATTATATCATATTATCTCTGGTAGATTACTCTTTTTTAAATATAGTAATTTTACAAAAGAGTTCAATTCACTCATATTTTATTTTAGACTGGAAAATAGAACAATAACAAAAACTATTTTATTTATAAAAATAAACCTGTTTCTTAACTTTATTATAGATCGGAAATTGAATAGGGTTGAAATTTTTATTCAGAATTTTATTTTGGAATAAAAATAATATAAAATTAAAGTTGATCCTAGACAATTTCTAATTAATCACTTTGTTTTACATTAAAATAGAGTAATTGTATAATAAATGAATTTTTATAATAAAGTCAAATTCTACACCAATGAATTTCTATAAAGCTTTGGATCATGGAATGGTTTGCTGTCTTCTATCTGTTGAGATGAAGCAAATAAAAGACCAAGATAGAGAAGGACAGTTGGCGCCAATGAGCAAGTTTGGAGTTAGCTTGAGAATTAAGGCAGTCCGTACACTCTAGGTTATCTACTGATGCATCATCACTGGTAGTGATAAGGAAGGAATCAAAGCTACAAAGGAATTCCTGAAGTCAGTCTTTGACATAAAAGACTTAGGAGAAATGAAATACTTTCTTGGGATTGAATTATGCAGATCCAAGGAAGGGTTATTCTTTTTCCAAAGAAAGGCCGTTGATATTCGTAGATCGTGAGTTCATTCCCTTGCTTTTGGGCGATGATTTGATGTCTACGATCAGAGCTCAGAAGATGGCTGTCAAGAACGTAGAGGAGGTAGGATGGTCAGTTGGTCAGATCTATAGATCGTACATGGACGGTGGTTGGAGTCGGCGGTATTTAGAGTGGGAATAAAGGATAAACAAACAAAAAAAAAAGAAATTAATTTTCTATTTATATAGTAAACATATTTTTGCTCTATTATAAAAAGAGAAAAAAAATAGGATTGGAACATTTTTATTTGGACTATATTTTAGATCTTAAAATAGATTAGGCTGGAAATGCACTTCAAATAAAGTAAAAATGAGTTTATTCTATTTAGAACATCTCTAGTCCATCTTTATATTTTCTTTTAGAATATAATTTAGGTAAAACTATTCTACTCTATCTCTATTTTTTTCTTTTCAAATGTAGACTGTTATTTTTTCTCTATTTATAGAGGAAGAAATATTATTATTCTAAATTTTATTTTATTTTTGAAATTGTAAAACAATACATTGGAATAAATCACGTCTCGAGTATAGAGTTTCTATGTTTTAAATAAATAAATAATAAAATACATTGGAGATGATTTTATAAAGTAATTCATTTATTTTATTTTATTTTTAATTTACTATGACAGAATAGTATTGAAGTTGAATTGAACTCTTTTTTAGAGTTAAGTGAACTATAAGAATTTAAAGTTTCTTTTTTTTTTAAATAGAGTAATTAAATGAAGTTTGGTTCTACAATGGCCCTACATGGACGTTAATTTCTATGGCCGACAAAACATTTACCAACCGGTTACATTTTCGGTTCAACCAATAATAACCGATGCAGAATTGAATTGCTTTGATTTCATTTAACCAAAGAGGTACAAAATTGCTTCAAATACTAACACAGAAATAATAGTAATGGTTCAAAAAATATATGAAAACAAAAGAAAACTGGAGGGATATCTTTGTTATCTTATGTTTTTGCCACCGGCTGAAACTTTCCGGTGACGTTTTCTTCCACGTTGTCCCGAGCTCTTCTTCCCCGTGGTGGCTCTACCGCCTACTGATTTACCACGTGGCAATGCCAGTGGCTCTGGAATAACCTTAGAGGAAGCTCGAGGAGGTTTCATATTCATCAAAACGTCTCTATGATAAACCTGTTATCATCAGGAACCACCATGGTCACGTATCACACACAAACAAATCAAACCAAACTCTTTTTCAGTTGTCTTTTTACCTGTTTTACAAAGTTGCGTCTTTCACAGTCCAAGAACATATTAATGTTCCAATCCACTTTCTCTCTTATCTTGTCTCTTGCTACTGCAAAGCTTAGTTGATCTCTTGAAGTAAACCGATCTACTTCGTTGAACCAAACACACGTGAAGAGGTTTGTGATGGGTATGTGTTCTCTTATGATTGTACAACCTTCAGGAACATCTACAAAGCAACACTCAACTGAGCTCAAAAGTCTCACAAGAATGTAGGCTTTATTAAAAACCATTACCACTTGTTATTGGAAGCTTAGCATCAGTATAAGGTGTTAAGCCTTCTTTCTTGTAGAACTCTACTTGGTAATCAATTGAGGCATTGTCGTATTTTCTTGCGGCTTTGTTCGCCTCAGCTTCCACAAACACATCAAAACGTCTGTAGTGTCTTGAGATTGCTAAACTAGAGTTTGTTCTCCATAAGAACCTGAACCATTTGATAAGACAGGTGAAGCTATAGCTGCTTTGGTCTGAACAAAACACTTTCAAAGAAAAAGACCAATTATTACCTTTCAAGTATTTGGTATGGATCTACAACAAGCTGGAGCTTTGCGTCAACCCATATGGAGTATCTGACATTTGGGAATAATCTATGCAATAGAAGCTTCGGAATCTGTAAAAATGTTACATAAGGAAACATTCAAATCTTGGCTAATTGATTCTCATATCTTTAACTAATGTTCAAGAAATCGTTAGGCAGTAGTTAGACCCTTTATAGAGGAGTACTGACTAGGCGGGCACATAAACTGATTTTTTGAAACCTAAACCTGAGTTTTAAAAAATAATAGTTCTGGAAAAATTGTTTCGGTGTGTAAACCGATTTTTAGAAAACTGTTTCTGACCTTTCCATTACGCCTTGCATCGGTGTAAGGGACATTGTGGGCAACAATGATCCTCCACAATCCAACTCTCTTGTTATCCTCTGTGTAACTAGAAGTGTTCTTAAGATATGAATGTGTTTCTTCGTCCACAAACATGTAGAAAGGGATGTTCTTCCTCGCCATTTCACCGATGTTCACCGGTTCTTGTATTAGATCATACTTTCCTGAAAAGAAAACAAAGGATTGAAGCTTTGTTCTTGACTAGCTAAACAATGTATATGTCTCACTTACCAAATATCGCTGAAGCAACAATCACTTCATGGAACTGGTCCAGTTCATGAAGGATATCCTCATCAATGTCGAAACCGGTTTGATGGCCAGGTTTAGTTCCTTTGACAAATCTGCAGAAACAAGAAACGTAAATAAATAAATAAAAAATAAAAATCTACGGAGCTAAAAGCCAAGAGAAGCTTACCCGCAATGAACTGTCATGGCCTCTTTAATGTCAAAGGAGTTAGTCCTATCTTCAAGAGAAGGATAACCTCCAAACTCCGAGCCTCCTTGACCTTCTTCACGTTTTACAGGACTCTCTTCATGGATATATGTCAAATTCTTAAGCACAGGAGATTCAAATTGATGCTTTGGCATATGAGCTAAAGCCTCCTCTGGAGATAGATAGCATACAGGACACGCTGCACATAATTACACCCATAAGAGAAAGGTCAATGCAAGTTCTTATAAGAGCAGGGCTGGTCCTGATCATTGGCAGGTAAAACATTGGCCTATACAGGCCTCCAAATTTGTAAAAACTAAAATAAAATTATATAAATCCTTACTAAATTGCCTATATCCCCAAAATCTCAGGACCAGCAATGCATAGGAGCAGAGCAGAAACTAAAACAGAGAGAGAGAGAGAGAGAGAGAGAGAGAGCTTACGGCGCGGTCCAGGCCTTCTAAGTCCAGGTGGAGGAGGAGGAGGAAATGAAAAACTATCACATGGATGGTGAGAAGGAGGAGGAGGATGAATGATGTCTACATCACTTCCTCTAATGTGATCATTATTAGAGTCTCCGGTAAACAATTCTCTACTTAATGGTGTTTGGTTGCTTCCAAATTCAATAGTCTCAATACTCTGATGAATGTTTGGACTGTTACTACTCTCTGTTGTATCACACAATGCAGACATACACAACATGAGACTCCAATGTCTAATGAAGAATAAAAAAGACATTGCATGCTTACTTACCTTTGTTGATAGTGTAAGAACCCAAGACAAAGACAACAAAGGCAAGGCTGAGAAGGAGCAGCATTGCGACACGTCTTCGACCTAAGTACCAGCAACATAAGAAGGAGAGAGATCTTTCCTTGTCTTTAGAATTCGAAGTGAGCATCGTGGAAGAAGAAGAAGATAATGTCTCAAAAGCTCAAGGCTTGTAATGAACCATGACATTCCAATCATTATCTCATGTCGAAAAGAAGAAAAACAAACTTTTTTTTCTCACAGATCTCTCACAAACTGAAACATAAGACAAAACCAAGATTCAGTTACATTGCAGAAGAAGAAGGTTGACCCATTAACAAAAACAGAGAAAGGTTTGCAATTTACCAGCAAAAATTCGAATCAATTAAAGACCTGCATTTTGCAACGAAAAGGAACAAACTTTCTATAAATCACATCTCGATTCAGTCAATAAGAGAAAGAGATTACCTTTTAAATGAATGCTAATAGAAACTCCAAAAACCCGTCTCTGGATTTTACAAAACCAATAGAGAGATTGGTGAATGCATCGCCAGATTTCACTGATCGCTTCGATCTGCACAAAACATTCAGTGTTTGTTTTAGTTTAATAGTACTATCCACTCCTTGTTTGATTTAAAATCAAAACTAATTAAATGGCTTTACTACTTCTTTTTTTCTTTCTTTTTTTAACATCTATTTTATATTAGCCAAATCAAAGTCTTACGCAATACTTATTAGCTTCCATACAATACCTTAACCAATTAGGTATAATAGAATACAGTTTTGGGACAAAGGACGTAATCGTAGTAGTTTCCTTCACTATTCTATCTGTAGCTTTGTTACCATCCGCAAACCACTTTCACCTCACTTATACGCAAAAGTGCGTGACTGATCTCTTGAATGATAAGTTTTATCTTCGGCCAGACCTCTTCTTCTTCATTCAACATTTTCCACAGTATCTGAGAATATATTTCAAAAGTCATCTTTGAGTAGCCTAAAACAATCATAGTAAATATAGCCTATCTTAGCACCTCAACCTCTGCTTCTATAGTAGACTCCACTATTGACATTTTCCTCGCTCCTACCTATACCAACAGACCATTATGATCCCGCAAAATCCAGCCGATGCATCTAAATCCATTCTCCTGCTTCCAGGAGCCATCAATGTACATTTCAACCGTACTGAAGGTGGTGGTATCCATCGCCGGACCGGTCCTTCAGGTACATGTGCTTTAACCTCCACTATTTTCACCCTTTTTTTGCTTTTCCATTGCTTGGCATCATCTCTTGCCTTCGGCTTTACTGCTCTTTTTAATTTTGAAGAGTTTGATTGCAAAATCATTTCTCTTACAATTTTTTTTTGTAAATGTTACTCTTTATGTTTCATTTTAATTATCATTTGAAGTTGTGCACACAAATTAAAAAATAATAAATTATGCATATTTTTAAAATAAAAACAATATTACATATATATCTAACTAGATTTCAACCATTAGAAAAATAGAATGACATATAAAATCAATAAATTTTACATTGTAATTACAAAACAACACTTATCTTGAAACAAATAATTTACTCTATAACGACATCTAAATTGAAACGGAGAGAGTACATTTTATTGATTTCATAATGAAATTCCGTCTATAAAATAATTAGTGAGAAGCCAATAATTCAGGGTTTGACTAGTTTCCCCGCTACCATCCGCAAATACAGCTTTTCCCAAAAACGTTATAAATCATTTTAAACCGCTATAAACATCTTAAAATATATAAAAAAATGCTTTAGCGTTTGTGGTTACGAATGGCTAAATTAATATAAACTTTAAAAATATATATTTTTAAAAATATTAAATTTTACAATTAAATATTAGAAAATATATATATATATATTTTATATTTTCATTTAAATTCACTTATAATATCATTATTTATTTTATAAAAAAATTAAACCAAAAGCATTCACTACAATTTTTAAACATTAATACACCCACACACGCACATAAATATATACATACATATATATAAAAAAATATTCTTTGAAAAGTTCTAATATAAATCCACACAACAGATTTTCTTGAAATTATAACTTTTATGTAAACTAAAAATAAATAAATCAACGTAATATTGTTATTAATTATATTATATTAATAATTTTTATACGTTTGATATTTTTATAATGTAATGACGTGTTAATATTAGTAATTTATTATTAAAGAGCTCTCATAATCAATTAGTCATAAACATCCTATAAATACACTAATTTCTATATGATATACCAGTTGTACAAATCGCTTAATAAACACTAAAAACCATAGGTACCCTTATTTACAAACTTCCACGACCGCACACGCAACCCTGCATTTCAACAGGTCAGAGCTTCAGACTTCATCGAGTGTAGTGTAGGTTTCTACTCACATTCTTAAATGAATTGCATTAACTTAAGAAACTAGTAATTACTTAGTGTTTGCAACGTATAATTTTTTTTGTTGGGTCAACATAAAGTTAAATTAATTGAATCTAGACAAAAACTGAAATTATATTGATAAGGGATTTTATAACACACTAATTATTGTGTGTTAACAAGACCGGTCATAAGACTTTAAGGATTTTAGTATACATCTTAGCAAGAAAAATGTTAGTATAGATTTGAGAGCTATGTATAACAGTTCTTTAAATTTGAGAGTCAAAATAAATGTTTCATTTCACTATGCTGAAGACCAATCATGTGAGGAAAAAACTAAACTTCAATTGTACGTGTCTACAAGATTTAAATATGCGTTTTTAAAAGAAAACATGATAATTTTGTTTGTAAAATTTGATTTAATAGAAATTATATTTGCACACATGGAATTGTTTTAAACTTTTCATGCATTGCATTGCAGCTCCGAGTGCCGAAATGAAAAAGTAACTCTTGTATTTCTTTCTCCGATGAACCCTTCATATCAAATCTTTCAACATTGAGTATTGATTTCAGACAAGAAGGAAGAATTTTGTCAAAAGACCAATTCCAATGCATCATTTTACGTATGTAAATCAGGAAAATTTAGAGCCAACATTGAATGATTTTTTCAGGGTTAAAAGAATGCTGTTCATGCATATCAAGTCTTCGTAACATTCACCACACATAGATATAGTCTTTTCCGGAATCATTGTGAGTTTGATTTTATTGAAGAGACAAAGTTCTGATTCACTACACATAGATATAGTCTTTTCCAGAATCATTGTGAGTTTGATTTTATTGAAGAGACAAAGTTCTGATTCACTATCAATAATGTAACAACCCAGTCCCCCGACGTCCGATCGGGGTTGGCAAAAGGGTGTTACAGACACGTGTCTACTCATTTACACAATCATGTGTGTCTCTTACTGGTATTAAGAGTCGGAGGACGCAATCTTTTAAAGAAATCTGATCCACCCGTATCCACATACTTCTACTTACAGTCTTGCGCATAAGAAAAGTGGAAATTGAGGGATGAGCAATTGGGATTACTCAATGAAGTGACTCTAGTCCAACTTGTCCAATGGCACTCTACCATACCCCAAGCGGGAACCAGGACCGTTTAGCCACTACAATCAATATGCAATATACAAGCCATACAACAAAAACTTCACAAAGTATTCTAGCACCCTATCGTTCATACACCGTAAGGACTCAGCCGTTGGTTCACATAGACTCAATCACACAATCAACCTATAAACTAGACTCACCAATCAACGTGGAATTAAGGACCTAGGGTCGTTTACGAATATCCTTACACGTTCTGGCCTAACCTAGAAGGGGCGCCCTCTCTCGGGAAATCCGTCCCCCCTACAGCTTCCTAATGATTATCCGAGTTGCAGCTCGTTGGCTCCCAGCTCTGTCTGCCATTCCGGTCTTAATATCCATAATTATATCACGAGTGGGTATTGACTCAATCTTAAGGCGCCTATACTTTTCTTATCCCGCAGGTCCCTCCCAGAGGTCTCTTCTACGGTCGCCGTCCTTTCACGGCCTTTCACATCTCCCCCACGGGTAACTTGTATTAGGCTACTGTCCCGTGGGCCCCTACGGGTACCTCTTGTTAGGCTACTGTCCTGCAGGTCACACATCCTAGACTCTAGACGCCCACCCGTTCTCGGTGGTCCAAACAGAATTTCAAACAAGTTCATTGACTCAATCACATTTTCCATCCTCGTTCACATTCTCATTTACTTCCTCATTCACTTTATCATTCACTTTAATTCATTCTCAATTCACTTTAACTCATTCGCATACACTTAGACTCATACTCAACTCTAGACGCCACCCATTATCGGTGTCCCACACAATACACATAACATTCATAATCTTAAACATTGAAGCCCAAAAGACATCTCATTCATATTCATCTATCTTTCACTTTAGATACCAAAGATGATTACTTTACATTCATCATTCATAACAACTGATACCCATTAACATATCTATCATCTTAAACATTGACTTCTTTCTAGCAACCTAGCTTTCATTCATAATCATCACATGAGACACGAATCATTCACACAATCATTCATCATCAATCATTAATTACATCAACACGAGGTAGTTCATTAAGTCACATTTAAGCAATTCGAGGGTTCTTATGCATCATGATTCATTCATCTATCAACCTAACTCCCATTATGTTCTAACGACTTAACTTTCAAACATGGATTATCCGAACATTAATTCCAACATCAACCAGAATAGAGAATTATGAAAACAAATCTGGATTCGAATTACCTTACCTTAAGAATAGATATGAGATCTGGAGATCTGGATCTGGAAAACGAGATCTGGAAAAAAAGAAGAGGACGAGATCCGGTCACCACCACCACACAGGTATACCACCACCACGAACGATCTCCAGAGACCACCACCCTCACACCCATCGGTGACTTGGCTTGCTCTCATGGCGACTCGTGGCAAGGAGAAAGGAAGAGATGCGCGGAAAGAGAGAGGAAAGAGATAGAGGCGCACGAGAGAGGAAAAGAGAAGAAAGACGGCTAGGGTTTTCGTGTCTCCTGGGATTTCTGTAGATCTTCGCTTCCCATTTTGTGAATGTGGCTAAAGAAGGAGGAGGCAGCTCTTTTTACAGGGAATGCAAGGAAACCCTAGGTCTTTTGTCCTAATGGGCCGTAGACATGCACATTTTGCCTTAATAATTTTTTTGGACCAGGTCATGGGTTGTTACAATCTCCCCCACTTAATAGAATTCTTCCCCGAATTCTACGTGTCAGAACTTAATCCACAAACATCCCAACCAATGTGGACATCATGCGTCACTTATTCACTACCAGTTCTATAGCATCCTGGCTCACTAACCTTACGGGGGTCCTCATCATTTTAAATTCCAGTTACCCTTCTAAGTCAACATTTCCTTGCGGTTCACCAACTTCCCCCATACTCTGCTTATAGTTACGGTGAGACGTATTCTTGATGCTGGCATCAGGATGTCATCTAGGGTACTTCTACAATCTTTTG